AAGTGGATGTCATAACATCCACTGTAACATCGACTGTCTGTTACTGCATTTACAATTCTGCAAAATCTAAATGGTTAGATAAATAGTTTTGTCAGTCTGCAGATGTTACAACAGATGTCATGACACTGTTAATTTTTAAAGTGAATTAAAATGGTCATGTTCTGTCCTTGTTCTGTTTTGGCAGAGATCAATGTCTTAACATCGCTAGGGACATCTGAAATCTGCATACCAGAATTTCAAAAAGTAAATAACAGGTTTTTATTGAGGTTGAAATATTCTTAAGTGACTAGGTAGGTCAGGTCTTAAGGAGTCAGCGACCATCAGTTTTCTTAGGAGACCAATTAGTTCAGAATCGTTAAGAATGTCATGATAGGTCGTCACTGCATTTATAATTAGGTTTGATTATTGGATTAAGTCCTTGTATAAGGTCAATCACCCAGGTGGTTGGACTAGAGGTACAGTTGTTAATAGTGAACCAAGATAAAAATCCTTGAGTACTTTATCATTTTGTTCATTGTTTTAAGCTGTTGTTTTAAGTTGCAAAAAACTATCATTCTTTAAACCCAATTCAATCCCCTTATTGTGTTTCTTGAACCTTCAAAGGAGCCATGTAAACGATGCTTAGTTTTGAACAATTTAAAACTCATAGTTCTCAGAAACTATGTTAGAGATTTGATCTTGTTCCATTTTAAACATAGGAGGAGTTCGCGGGTTCACTACCATTTTGTGGAGTTTGTTTGACAGGATAACTCCTTCAACTTGTTGGTTCCACATCAAGTAGTTGTTTTCTTGAAGTGTGATTGAAAGTTTAGGTGCAAAAGTATTGGTTATACCTGAAAAGACAACGATATTCAGTACCGCTTGAGATATTTGCAGCTCTTGTTACACTCCTGGTGGTGAGAGATCTTCGACAACCATTAGAGTTTCTTTGAAGCTTTAACTTTTAAGCACTAGATTTTTTGCAGATTGAGGAATTGAGCTTCTCCAAAGCCGAACTACGTACTAAGGCAATTAATACCATGTTTGATCACAATGATCTCATGATGATGATGTATAATGTGTGTGTGTGTGTGTCTATGTATGTGTGTGTGTGTGTGTGTGTGTGTGTGTGCGTGTGTGTGTGTGTGTGTGAGAGAGAGAAAGAGAGAGAGAGAGAGAAAGAGAGAGAGATTGAATAATACAAGATCTTCTTGCTATCATGAATTATATATTATCATCATACGTGATTTTTTGCATGCATGTGTTTATATACACGAATGGTAAATACTTTCGTAATGGTAGTTACACCTTAAGCTCTATGTGACTGACTTTTGACTAAGGTAACAAACTTACCTACCATAACTAACTCCTATATCTAACTCAATTCTATAACTCTAATATGATGTTATGTAACTCTAAGGTAACTAAGTATTGAGATAAATTTTTAGATGTTATAAGATAATGAATGAATAAGTAATTTAGATAATAGGATTTGATTGATAACATGCCAAGAAAAATGATATGCAAAGAATACGAAAACTTAAACTACTTGATAGTTTGAGAACCTTATGAATTTAGGTGTTTCAATAGTAAGCCTACATTAATCCTATAATGGTAGGAGCCAATAAAGATTATTATAATGACTTAGAATGACTTTGCTTACTCCTAAGTGAGTAAATATACTTATGAAGTACTTTGATTATTACGTTTATATATTAATGATGAAGAAATTATACGCCACCCGAGTTTGGTAACCTTATTATAGAGATTCTGATTTATGTAATATAATCAATTATGAGTTATTATGTGTCACATTCTCTAGATCAATCTACATTTAATATTAATCATATTAGCTGACCTTTGAGAGAGCACACCTCATAGTGTCCTTGTGTATTACATGAATAAGATTGTGAGTCAGATTCTCCAGGTTAATTTATATTTAATATCATCAGATGAATAAGCAAGATTGTGAGCCAAAATCTACAAATTGATCTACATTTAATAACAACCCGATGAATAGGCCTCTGATGCAACTCATCTCAAAGTGTCCTTAAAATTAAAATGAACAATATATCTATCTAGTGTTATATATATATATATATATATATATATATATATATATATATATATATATATATATATATATATATATATATATATATATATATATATATATATATATATATATATATATATATATATATATATATATATATATATATATATATATATATATATATATATATATATATATATATATATACATACACACACACACTTACTTTGTTTATTGAATATTGATTTTTTTTAGACCTACGCCATGCCTGCAAGGTCATCCATTCAACGACCTTGCCATGATCATTTCATATATGGGGAGTTGACATTTTGGGACCATTCCTACTAGCCATGTGGTAGTTAAAATTCTCACTGGAGTATTTCATAAAGCGGGTCTAAGCATAGTCAGTGTCAAATATTACAGCGAAAAGAGTGGGGCAATTTTACTGGAAGCAAATTATTTACAAGTTTGTCCTACCAAAACAAATCGTCTCATATAATGGAATCCAGTTCGCCGGTGAGAAAATTTTGCCAACACTTACGAATCCATACAAATTCGTCTCAGTCAAGTGATAAAAGCAAAATTAACCTGTTTATTGCTATTATATCCAAACACTTATTAGCTAAATTGTACCTAAAGTAATGGAGAAAACTCTGAATATATGTAAATTTTAAAAAATTAACCTAAAAGTATGCATTGATCTTGCTTTATTCTCTTTTGATCTATTCAAGTTAAAAGAGTTAAAAATAGTGCAAAAAAGATCAACTATCGAGCCAAATAAGAAGGTTGACCTAAAGACTTGAAAGCAAAAACCAAGCCTAATTCAATGGACCAAACTTATCAATTACTTAAGATTTATAAAAGAAGAAATAAATCAAGTGGTTCTTGAGCCAAAAACCCATCATGACTTTGTCATAAGATTAAATGATTTGCTTTCTTGCATGCACTCAATCAAGGGTTCATATTTATAGTGATAAATTTGTAAAATCCCACAATAGGGTAATACGGGGCCAAGTCTCATCAGATGCCCGCCCTAGAATATACCGCTCTAACGTAACCCCCACTCAATAGGTGGCTTGCCCTGATGAGAAACGTGAAAAATAACGTGTACATAGTCTGTAACCGCATGGGCAAGAAGTCCTGATAACGAGTTCATAAGAAGTAGACAACTAACAACTTCCCTAGTTAAGGTGGGATAGTTATTACTTCTCAAGGATCCCCAAATCCAGACTCGTAGTCCTCTATAAATTCCTTAACCTTAGGGTTGAGAGGGACATTATGAATACACAAAAATACCCATAAATACAAAGTTTCTTACCCTTATGAGTTTGCTCCTTCAACACCGAAAACACCTTCAAAACAGGGCCTCTCACCACTGTGAGATTGCCCTAAACCACTATAAATTCTAAAGTCTATGGCCACCCCTACCAACATAGGGGTGTCACACATCTGTACTTTTTAAAGTAAGTACACTAACATCTACCGTGGAGTCCCGGTAAAACTAACCTGCGTCATACCTTCCATTATCACTACAACTTGGACATTCACCAAAGTCTCCATTCATAACCCTAATCGTTCTCAGTCATGGTTGTTAGGAATAAAGGTGTTCAGGACGATATTTGAGCTGTTTTGACGCTAAAAGTTATCTGAACCACTAGAGGAAAAAATGCACGGTTCGGTGTGGTTGGCTTATAGAAATAAAATTGAACCAAACAAAAGCAAACCAATATAGTTTAGGTTGATCGATTTTTTACAAGATTTTTTTTGAGCCACACATACACGTATAAAAGACAACATAACTTTGTGTTTAGTCAATCATACATTACCAAATAACAAATAACAATGTCGACGAGCACATGTTACAACAACATTTCAACACCAAATAAAAAAAGAACTCAAATAAAAAAATAACAATGTGTATTACAAAGTACACATCAATTAGACTAAAACTAGGATATTTATCACACGAGACAACTAAGAAACACTTCAATCCTATACTAGATCTTAAAAACACAACACTTTCTCTCAAGACAACATGAAAACACCTTATACTACTAGAAAACTCAATCACAACAACATCAAACTCTTCCATTAAAATCATGATATCCAAGTATCCTCCATTAGAGGTCTTTAGATATCATAATCTAAGAGGTTAATACTTAAAAGCAAATGAAAAGATTTAAAAGGAATGAATAAGATTTTAAAAAATACCATTTCATTTTCAAGCACATCTATTACTCATATTCAATATCAAAAAGTTTCTCATTAGTTACGAGAACAAAGTAAAAATGTATCAAATATATTAATATAATATAGTTTAATTTGATTTTGTTTGTAACATACAAACCACAAACTGCACTAAACTGTGCAGTTGTGTTAAAATATAGTTGAGACATATTCAAACAAAATAAGATTTTTTTACCGTTTTCGATTAAATTAACAATTTTTTATTGAGTCAATTCGGTTTCAAACACCCCATTATATTAAAATATTAATGAGTGTAACCAAATATTTCACATGTATGAGTAGAAAATATCTTAATTTTGTTAAGAGTTTCCAAAAGATCTATGAAGTACGTGATATTTTAATTTGAAAAAAAGGGTGATGGAGGCCAATTAAACCCTTTTAATTTTGGAATTATATCCATAAATAAATCAGCAAATTCCATATCATCCAAATCTGAATCGTGCTGCTGCGGCGGAGACGGCGGATGAAAAGGCCGCTGAAGTGGTGGTACCTTGAAGTCCGAATGAATTCACAAAACCCTCACTCGGAAGCGTAGTTTTTAATCGGTGATTATAACGCAGTTCTTGGTGTTCATGAGAACAAAAAGTGAATCTCTCCACCAAAAGTGCAAAGTTTACCTGGTCAAACGCTCGTTTAGCGATGGCTCACATTGAATCTCGGCTTCATCACACACCATTGTTAATGAACCAAAATTATTGTTCGCTATTATCATTTTCACATGGCGGAGAAACTTATGCAAGCAGTTCAGTACGATTCCTATGGCGGAGGTGCATCTGGATTGAAGGTTATCACCAATTTCTCATCTCTTTCAATGTTTTATTTAACCTAATTTCATTTACATGTGTGTAACTGATTATTCTGATTCTGATTCAATTCAATTATTGATTTTAAACAGCATGTTGAAGTTCCTGTTCCAACTCCAAAGGACGATGAAGTTTTACTCAAATTGGAAGCAACTGGCATTAATCCGGTTGATTGGAAGATTCAGAAGGGTGCTCTTCGCGCAATGCTTCTGCCGGGAAAATTTCCCCATATACCCTGTATGACTCACTAATCCATATCGTTTTACTTAAATATGTGTTTCAATTGGCTTATAAAAACAATTTAGGGCTCTTCAGATAAACAACTTATTTGCAGCTTATAGCAGACATGCTTGTCAAATAAGCACTTATGAATAAGCTCTCATAAGGCTATTTTATAACAAAAGATAAAATAAATTTAAATTGTTTTTTATGTGTTAGAAGTTGTTTTTATTATCTATCTTGAAGAATTTATATAAGTAAGTTCAAAAAAATGTCATAAGCTGTTTTGATTAAGTCTCCCAAACAGTAGAAGCAGATAAGCTCATCCAAACATTTAGGCTAGGCTGTCGATAGTGCAGCATAACGTAGCTGTAAAGGACCTCGATGCCACACTTTTGGGCTGCTAACCGCTATCCGCGGTAGCGGAAATATTGTTAGTTTGATGTTTTTAACAGCAAATTGGTATTTTTTCCCTTTTATTTGACTAATATAAAAGTTGTTAGGGATGCTTTAGGTCACTCAAATCAGCAAGCGGGGATCTTTTGACCTAAAAATTTGTCGTTCTCTCTCTTCGCAAATTTTCTTCTTCGATGTTTTCTCAAATTAGGAAGCATCCATCTTTCTCATCCATTCTTCCACATTCCTCTTTTTTATTCACTTTCTCATCCATTTACACCTATTTCTCCCTTGTTTTGCTGATTTCTCATCTATTAGCAACTATGGCATCATCTTCTGCAAGTTTAACACAACCAAACTTCCAACAACAAATGTTTTTCTAAACCTATTGGTTGACATAGGGTGACAATAGTGACCATTCACATCTATTTTGTTTATGTTTGTTTACGTTTAGAATTTGGTTTAGTTATTTTGAGCTCATTCATAATTTAATTTTGATGAGAACTTATATTGTGGTGCTGTTGGAGTTTATGCATGTTATTGCGACTTCTGTTTTTAAGACATTATGTATGTTGTTGAAACTTATTTTAAGTATTTATGTATTAATATTAAGTATTTACCTTAGTTTTTAAAAGCTCACAATAGCGGTCATCCTGCTATTGGTATGCTGCTATAGCATTTTGGAGGTCCGGCGCTACGCGTCTCTATCTGAGATTAACAACCTAGCATTTAGGTTTATTGATGAGAGCATAAGCACTTGTCCAAGTGTTAACTCATGACATGACATGTCTCTAAAGCTATTTTCAGTCTCTAATGCGATTTTCAGTTTATGAAAACAGATCTACATAATTGTTTATCAAAACTAATTATAGCTTATATGAAAATAATACTGTAGAAACAAGTCTATTTTATTGGCATAAGCACTTTGTCTCCTCTATGGTTTATGAAAACAACTTGCAATATGAAAATAATTTGATTATATTTTTTCTTTGATTGTAGAAATAGCTTATATATAAGTGCTTAAATAATTTGACTACAAGCACTTAAATAAACTGTTTTTACAAACAAACTCATTCTCTACTTACTTTACTATATAATTAACCTTTCTTTAATCTTGGAACTTTGGTTCAGGCACTGATGTATCAGGAGAGGTAGTAGAGGTTGGACAGCAAGTGAAGGATTTTAAAGCTGGTGATAAAGTTCTTGCTAAACTATCAACTCAAGTACATATCTCTTTCTTTCACTCTTAGTTTACTGTTTTTCATTTCTTCTCTTCATCTACGTAATTTCAAGTGTGAACAGCCAAACCGTTCCACATGGGTAGCGGCCTGCGACCCGCTTCAAGATATGGTGTCTTTCGCGCCCGCGATCGTAAAATGGGATCCGCACCTTGGATCCGTTGCGCATGGGAAAATCCCGGGATAGCGGCCACTAATTTAAAAACACGCACTCTTGCATGGTGCACATGCACGGATTCTTTTGATAAATGAGTAAATATTAATATATATTCATATCTCCAATCCAACTATTTTTTTATTCATATATATTAATATATTAATTACAATGTTTATTATCCAATTTCATGTTATGTTGTATGACAGTATGGAGGTGGACTAGCCGAGTTTGCGGTGGCCAGCGAGAGCTTAACAGTTGCCAGACCATCTGAAGTTTCAGCTGCTGATGCTGCAGGTTTACCTGTAGCCGGTGTCACAGCTCATGACGCGCTCACAGAGATTGGAGGAATTAAGCTTGATGGGAGCGATCCCAAGAATGTTTTGATAACTGCTGCTTCAGGCGGTGTAGGTCTTTACGCAGTTCAACTTGCCAAACTAGGAAGCAACCATGTGACAGCCACTTGTGGCGCTCGCAACATTGACCTCGTTAAGGGCTTAGGTGCTGACGAGGTTCTTGACTACAAAACTCCAGAGGGAGTATCTTTAAAGAGTCCGTCTGGTAAGAAATACGATGCAGTGATAAATTGTGCTTCTGGAATACGATGGTCAACTTTTGATCCTAATTTGGCTAAAAATGGAGTTGTTGTGGATTTAACACCTAGCCCAAGATCAATGTTTACCTTTGCCATGAAGAAACTTATGTTTTCGAAGAAGCGGTTGGTGCCTTTTGTTGTATCTATCAAAGCCGGGGGCTTGAAACATCTTGCTCAGTTAGTGAAGGATGGAAAACTGAAGACAATTATTGACTCCAAGTTTCCTTTGAGCAAAGCTGAAGATGCTTGGGCTAAGAGCATTGATGGCCATGCTACTGGAAAAATCATTGTAGAACTATAGGCACGGTTTACTTGGGGATGTGTGTGTGTTTGTTTATATAGAAATGAATAATCTGGGAAATACATTAAATGTTGAAAGTATTTTAAGCAAATATATCTACTGATTCTTTCTTGTTGGTTTGTATGTGATATAGAATGATTCGCTTCTTTGACGAGTGATTTAGAAATAAATGACTTACGTTTTGGATAAGTGCGTGATATGACTTCATGAGGTCGATTGATTCACGTAGCTGATCTTATATACCGAGTATTTTGTATTTACAAAATTGAGGGATTTCAAACACCATCTTCCAAGAGAGAATTTCATAATTCCACCGACGCGCCCTGTCACTCGAGTTTATCGTTCCATGTTATTCTCTATTGCTCTTCTCTCATCGCCATGGGCTGAAAGTATTGGAAAGAACTCATTTTGTGTGTTATCATTGAAAAATAATGAACTAAATATGTTACTACATTGCTATGTACATAGAATACATTTGCCTTTTATGTTATTTGAATTAACAATCTACTAAGGCAATAAACTAATTCTTTTGATCATAAGAACTCGACATTTCCTTCCAATCCAATTACTTGTCCATGGTGGATCTTTAGACACAACTTGGTAACCAGCATTTGTGTACAATGTTCTAGCACCCACATCTTCTTCATAAGCTCTAAGAACAAGAAACTCAAAACCCCACAAATTCGAAATCATGTCACATGCTTTCAACATTACAGTCCCTATTTTCATCCTCCTATGCCATGAATTAGTATCAATATCAACATTCATTTTCATAACATGATAAAAACTATGAACTATAAAACAAACATGACACAGACATGTATGCAAACATGTTAATCACCTGAAAGCATTTGAAACACCTATTCCTGAAACATACAGGTACTCTTGTGCTTCATCTGGGAGATGTTGAAGAACATCTTGATCTCTCATGACAGTGACATCTACGACACCAACAAGTTGTTTAGGTGAATCTTGATCATTCTCAGCAACCAAACAAGCATACCTAAATAATAGTTACTGCATATACATTAGTTGCTAGTGTTTTACACAAGATCAATTTCTTATTTCATGTTTCAGGCTCATCATTCAGGAGTCTTTGGAAATTTCATATATTGATAAATGATAATCTACATAAGCTTGTTCAGAAATAAGAACCAATGTACCTATTGGGAGGTGAGTGTTTAAGCTTGTAAAGAAGCCCTGATAGCACTTCAGCCTATTTGGGTCAAAACAGGATAGAACATTAAACTTCGACGCTATTGGCATAAAACTACGGCCCGATACCGTAAAAGACTACAAAGATATTTGATATATTGACAGCGTGGTTTCAATCTAGTAATTATTCACTTCTTAGAACTTAGTGGAATGCAGATTCACTGCAAGTCACTGATTCACGCATTCGGTGCATTAGAATGCAGACACAAATGCATACTTTCAGTGTATCAGAATGCGTGCATTAGTGACGGCAGGAACTTACATCCCACTCCATGAATCTTCTTAGAATAAAAATAAGTATGTGCAAATTAAATAAAAATGAAGAGATCAATAAAATGAGAGAAGAAGAACCTTAAAGAATTGAAAGAACAAGTCATTGAAAAGAGCCATAGGAACATGAAAAGCTTCAGCTTGAACTTGAGCTGCCATTTTTATCTCATCAGCATTCACAGTTAATCTCCTTATCCTCCATCCATATTCACACGCCAAAATCTCAAACTTTTGCTTCAAACTCTCACCACCATTCTCATTCTCAATCTCAAACTTCACTCTCTGATCACCAAAGTATGATGACTCTTCTGAACTACCTGTGCTGTAGCATTGCAACATTGAACCACTCCATGTTTTTCCTCTTCTAACTCTATAACATGCATTTTTTGGTGTTGTTCTAACATCATAATACCTAATGTTTGAACATATAACTAGTTTATGAGAAGTGTTTGAGGTTCTTGAAAATAAATTAGCCATTCATAAACCAAAAAAATTGCTACAATACATAGCCTAGTTTGTTAATGCTCACAAAAATTCTACTTGAAATTTGGGTTTTTCTTTTGTTATCATAAGAAAATCTATAGTAATAGTTAAAGTGGGGCCTGTTTGGTATTTGTGTGGTCTCTTTTAGATTGTTGCCAACTATATTTATCTTTCTAGAAGCCAGGTGTGGTTATATCAACCAAAGAAACTTTGATTTTGTTGTTGTTGTCCTTGTTATTACAAGGAGTGTGTCACTTGGTTAATTCCAAACCATAGCCCTATCTTCATAAAATTCACTACAACATGACTTTGATTGAGAGTTATAAGGGGGTAGGTGAATTTGATGGAAGGGGAACATAGGAAAAGGAACTAATTTAAAAGATCAACTTAAATTAGTTGACCTTTTAAAGTGAAGCTCCAATTTATTTTATAAGACATTATTTTTAATTAGTTGAAGGTCATTAACAATTACAATTAAATTCATATTCAATTGATATTTGTAAAAAAAATAAAATTAAATATAATTATAGTGAATAAGATAAGAGTATGCATTTTAGATATGAATACATATGCTGGTTCTGGCTGGTTTATGTAGATACTATATTAATATCCACACGTACATACATAATATATATTTTTATTTTCTATTTATATTATAATATAAAATTATGCGCATATCAATTTTAAAAGATAAATTATTATTAAATTATTAAATTTTAAAAAAAATAATATATGATATAATACAAACATATTGAATGTTTTTCTTATAGATAATCTGTAATACAAACATATCGACTTAGGTATTCATAGCTTCGATACATCATCTCTTGATACATCTCTCAAAGATATCAGTCTTTTTGCCTATAACATCGTCCACATGCAATTTGACTCTGAACCATTAGAAAGCGTGGTAGATGATTCATCTGTTCAATATAGGAGATGTGTTTAGTCAATCAATGAGACTAAGAATTATTCAGTTATGATTTATAAAAAGTTCTATTACTTGTTGGAACATGCTTCACCCTCTATAAAACATGACGCCATTTATAAGATTAAGGTTGTGTTTGATTGTGGTCGTCTGATTGGTGTAGACGATTGGCTTTTAGATCAAACGGTGATTACCAAAACTTTTAAGTGTGACATTAATGACAGAAATGATTAAAATGTCTTGGGAATGACTAGTTAATTTGGGTCATCCATTGATTTGTAAGTATGTGAGTAAAGCCTTTGATGTTCTGTCACGTTAATGATGACTACTTAGGCTATAAGAGATATTCGATTTTTTTTTTTTTATAAATACTAGAAAGTTTATATTCCATTTTCTGTTGTTCATTTGTCTAGCAGCAATTTCACTTAGAAACTATTTCCTCTCGCTAATTTTCTCGTTCCTGCGTACTCAGGTTTCTTCATCCTCTAATGAAGTTTTACTACAGGTATTTCCTTATTCTATTTTATAAACCTTTATTGTCATACTAATAGAATGAAGTTCTTTAAAGATTGTAATGCAAGCGATAATATAATCGAGCTTAACACCCACGAGAAAAGGTGAGAGTTATGGCACCGGTGTGTTAAGAGTTCAAGGAGAACATGCGGAAAAGTGAATTGGAGATCCGTTGAAATGGAGATGTTTGGGAGTTACAATAGTAGTTATAATAGATTTATTAGCAATAAGAGTAACAATAATGGTGTTGTTTTGGTCTTTCTTAGTAGGACTGACAGGACTAGTGATGGCCATTTGGGACACAAGTTTGGCATGTTTTAGTGACAAAGTGGTGAAACTCTAACTCTTTGTTTGGTAACGAATCAAGGATACATGCGTTTTAGAATGATATGTACATATTATCGACTAGAAGTGATGAGGATGTCTTGAAGGAACCTTGCTTCGATGGTGAAAATGTTCGAATGAGGCATCCACAAGGTGTGAAGGGAGAATATTTCTTCATGTACGTTTGTGTCATATCTGATTTAGGGGTGTGGATCCTCTTTACCATCTTTGAGGTAAACATTTTTAAAGTAGTCAATGTCGCCCCTCACAACTTCACCCAAATAATTAGTCTTTTGTGTGTGGATTCAAAATCCTTGGTGGCGCCCTTGGGATTAAGCCTACTGTAACACCCCCTTTCTATACCCCCAAATAAACACTTAAAATCATATAAGCAACTAATAAAAGTTTCATCAGAGTATGAATTTAAAACATGGTATAAAAGAGGCGCATCACATTATCATCGAAACGAAACATAAATAATACCTGCTCATAAAGATATGTAACAAAAGGGGTAAATCTCAACTAAAAACAAATCATAGCGCTTAAAACCCACATATCAACATTTAGAATAAAGCGGAAATATCTAAACATTGAAATCACTTCATTAACATAAGCATCATATACATCATTCAGATTAATTCAATTCATCAGTTGAGTTTACAAAACATTCAGCAACAGATACATATACAAATGTATCACAAAAGAATCAAAAAAATCCTAATTACCCAGTGTTACATATCAGAGCCATCTGACCAAAAGAAATGAAGACTCGCTTCACAAAAGACCTCCAGCATCCTACTCTGCAATGCCTCATAGAGCATTATAAAACAGCAGAAGGGTGAGAAACATTATCATAACAAATAATGCATAAAATTATATATCATAAAACACAATTATAACATACACGCAATTCACATTTCTCACCACAACTTGTTACAATACATCACAATATACACGTACATAATCAATCAATTCACCAATTCATGCTTCACAATTCATAACATTTCACTTAAACATTTACAATTATGTTCATTTCACCAAAACATCATATAAAGATGATAATGCAACTCATAGAGACCGACTCACGACTCTATGCAGATGCAAATGCGGTACCGACTCGTTCAGCAGGTTCAATTGAAGAACCAAAATAGAACCATCGCTCGTTACCGAAGTAACTCCCCGTCGGGCCTACGATGTTCACCCATCGCTCACACCCCACATGGGCACACGATGTTTCAGGATTGCTCACACCCCACACGGGCACACAATCCGGTTGCTCACACCCCACAAGGGCACACAACTGTTCTGCAGATTCTCCATGGAATCAAAAATAAACCATCGCTCACACCCCACAAGGGCACACGATCGTTTCTGCAGATCCTCTTAGGGATCAAAGTAACTAAACCATCGCTCACACCCCACAAGGGTACACGAGGTTTCTGCAGATCCTACGCGGGACCAAACACACAAGAATGAAATCATGATGCTACACATGCAACACGACTCTAAACACTCTTAAATGCACACGTGTTTACAAACATATTCAAGCATTCTTCACATCATACAAGTACATACAATTATGCACATTCACATTAATATCACCATGCAATTCTATTTAATTCGAACAATTGCATAAAATTGTCAAACGGCCACATTACACATTCCACAACTCACAATCTAGAATACACGCCATACGGCTACCCGCAACACAATATAACTTGGCATGATCGATGCCTCGAGCAAGGAAATAATCAAAGTTAAGTCGGAAATCCGACCTCGGATAGAAACATTAAAGAAAACACAACTTGTCATGTTTGCCACCCTGCTCGCTTAGCGAGCTCCTAGCGAGTATTCGCTACTTGTTCGCCTAGCGAATAAGCTCGCGAAAGCAAACAGAAGCCTCTGACTTCGTTCGCTACCTCGCTCGTTCAGCGAACCCCTAGCGAACCTTCACTACCCCCATTCGCTACCAGCGAACACCACAACATGCATTCTGCCCAAGTCTGGGACCGTTCGCTACCTATTCGCTTAGCGAACGTTCACGACCAGCTCGCCTAGCGAGTGTCTGCGAACTCAGAATTTTCCCACTGTTCTTCCACTCCAAAACTCTTGGATTCACCCGATTAAGTCCCAACTCATTCCAGCACTTAGCCTAACATCACCCGACATAAATGCTACTACTTAATCTCACTTTCACCAACGAAAACTCGGGTTCTATCGATTAAATCCGTATTATGCCCTAGAATGAAAAATGAGTAAAACTCTCCCCAATCCAAAACAAAGCCAACAAGAACACACATAATCATACACATTGCAAGAATAATAAAGTTTCACACCCTTACCCGATCAATCGAAAGCTTAGAAGTTGATTCTTGATGATTCTAGGTTTTTCTCCTCTTTTCTCTTCTCTTCCTTTCTTTCTCTTCTTTTTCTTTCCTTTTGGTTTCTATTCTCTATATTCTTTCTCTTTTCCACTTATACTCTTTCTACTCTATTTCTCTCAAAATAACTACTAATCAAGGATTATCTAAAACACCCTCTAATTAATTCCCAAAACTCTCCAAATAATAAAATACCACAACATACACACATAACATATTATCATATAATTCCACAATAAAATAACAATTAACCAAATAAATTAAAAGACTTAACAAAATAATGAGAAATTCAGAATTGGGGCGTTACACCTACTGCTGGTGTTTTGTTCTCATTTTATGGTACTAAGAAGGTCGAAAATGGAAGTTGGATTTCCATAAGTGCCATTCTAGGGTTGATTTCCCTTAACTCGTCTAACTACGAAATTGGAAGGACAAGTTTGTTCGAGTTATTGGGGGTGTTGATTGCCACAAGGTGATTTTTTAGGATAATGGGACTCACATATTTATTATCTATTGGACGGGTGAACCCATATCTATATTGGTCTTAGATTATGATAAGTTAAACGATGCACAGAAGGATGAGGTTTATTTTACAAACCAATTCTCTATTTTAAACGTTAGGGGGTTAAGGGAGTATGAGGATGACAAGACGGTGCTTGACGAGTATATATGTAAGTTTGGTTTTATTCCTTTATTTTTATTCTCGTTTATGTATCTTTAATCTAACTTTTTAATATTGTTTTTATGTGGAGATAATGGCTCATTTGCTGAGGAAAGCTTATTTGGAAAAGGCTAAAGCAAAGAGAGACGATATAGGAGCCGACATTTGGGATGATAATATTAGCTCC